ACTGACAAGGTACTATGCCTCCACACCACTTGATTAACATTAAAACTAGAAATAACCATTTTAATAGCTATACATTGAGGAAAAACTCTTCTTTTCTTATTATAGCTTGATTTCTATACTTGAGTTTAATCTGCTTTTTTTTTTAACCGGGTCTTAATAAATATCTACAAGCCCCTGGGAGCCCCTGCCTGCAATTCAGAAAGTTGGAATTAGCTTGTTTTTTACATTAGTGGAGTATGTGATGAAACCCAGCAAAACCCTCCCAGGAGGCAGTTTTTCTCTTCCTGCAGTGAGATTCTTGGCCAAGTGAGTTTATTTTCTCTTTATTTTTGGATGCCTAACACTAACACAAATAGACCTTCAATGCCAGCAGGCTATAACCTTCAGAAGGCAGAAAATTCACTTCTGAGCTTCTACTCCATTCTTATCTCAGCCAACTGTATAACATATGTAGCTTATGCAACAAGTGCAATCTTAAATTCTTCTGAGTGCTCTGGAGAGGGGTGGGGGGAAGGCATTAGTCCCTGCTTTGTGTCCAAATTGTTGCTTTGATGTCTTAGATGCTATTTGTTTCCATGTGCAACTGTCCTTATTTACCTCTTATGGCTGAGCTGCAGAAGAGCATAGTCATAGCTGTGTTGACATTTTTTTACTGAAGACAGACAGAGCTGCTGAAATAGGGATTCATTTTCTTAGCCCATGAGGAAAGAAGAGACTCTCTGGGTATTTTTATACTGCTTCTGTGGCCACAAGTGCTATTCAGGAGTGTTAGGTGAATGCATTTATTTTGCATATAGATTTTGTGGAATAGAAGTATTTAATTGAAACTGATAATGTACGCTTTGTCTTTGTTTTTGAAAAAGCTGTTTTTTTTTTCCCAAAAAAACGTTTGTCCTGACAAAAGTCTTTTAGAGATGTTTTTCGAGTAAATTAATTCTGGGCTATTTTTCTCTCTATTCCTGCTTCCTCAGATGTTTATCAGCGGGACCAAATCGGAGTGCAAGTGCCTTCTCTAGATGATCCTCCAGAATCGAAGGCTCTGTACTCTCTCCTTACTTCACTCCTGTTGCCTCTCCCAGTGAGTTTGTGACTTTGTATGAGAAAGTCATGGCCTTTCTGAGTGAGGATAACAGTGATGTTGTCTTCATGCTGCTGACAAAGGTAAGATGCTCATGAATGGTCTCTCTCTTGTTGCTCTGAGTGAGATATGTCTAAGGAAAACTATGACTATAAAGAAATAGCTACAGAACTAGTCTTTTAAAGTACCAGAGAGACTAGAGTCTGCCAAGGCCTTGCCTTAGAGCCTCAGTTTATGGACTATACAGATTAGCCCAGCTTGTAAGTATTAAGATTTGGCAGTGGTACTAAAATGCGCAAATCTACGTGTGTTTTCTTAATTGAAGACCAGATAAAGAGCTGTTTCATGGAAACAGGAACTTTTGTAAATAGGCTGCAAATTTATGCTAAATAGCCATTTTGAGAGTTACCTTGATTTTGAGCTAGAGATGATGAAATGCAAATATACATGGTTAGTACAGATCTCATATTAAAGGAATTCTTTCCCCCTAAGTATTTCTTCCCCTCTATCTTCCCCAAGAGTTTGTGACTGTTATTTGAAATGCTAAAACTTATAAATGCTCCCTGTCTGTTCTAGTTCGACCTTACACAGTGGTTAAGCGTAACTAAGCCACCTTTATCTGAACGTACCAGGCTCCTGGAATCTATTCACTTGGCTCTCAGTGCACGTGGCCTTGAACCTGAAGAAGATATTTAAATGCCCTTTAATATCTTCTGCAAGCATTGGACTAACCTTCTCCAGTATTAGTTCCCTGATCACTATAATGACTTCTTAAGATTGTTCATGCAAAGTGAGTATCTGAATCAGTGTGTTAATTGATGTCATTTTTTACTCAATTTTTAATTGCTGTTCAACTCTTTCATACAGATATTACATACATTCATATTTTTAGGCCAGAAAAGATAGCAACAAACACAGAATAATTTGCTTCCCTCCCCTCTTAAGTTTCTTTATGCACTTTTGTGTGCATGCTATACAATACATTTTTATTAGACATAATTTAGCTTTACTAGAAAGCATAATTTTTTCACAGATTGTATACACACAGATGATAAGTTTTCAGCCCATGCTGCAGGAGGAGGACAAAGAAGAGCTTTCTGTTAATGGAAGCAATTGATAATTATGCCACCATACAGTGTCCCTATTCTTGAGCAGACTTCACTGTCAAATCAGGAGTTATGAAGACCTGGGACTGATATTGAAGTCTGCTGTGCACATTCTGTTGGACATCAGGTTCTACCTATAAGATGCTGTGCCTCTAAAATGGGGACACGGTGCTTCCTTTCTGTCAAACTGTGTGATGAGTAGCAACTATCTCTTAGTGTGCTTTTGTAGCCAGGGATGATGTACTAAGTGCTTGGGAAACTCTCCAAGAAGGAGTTACCTATCATTCCTTTTCTTGCATCTACATTACCTGTGTTTGGGAATGAAGTGTCTCTTGCCTTTAAACTTGGGATTTTCAAGCTATCACCTTACCTCTTTTTTTTTTTTTTTTTTTTTTTTTGTAGTTGGTAGCTCCTATTTCAGGCTTCTCTAACTTATATGGAGGAAAGAATTAATATCCTTATGACTTCCATAAGAACATGATTTTCTTCTAAGGCTCTTCAGAGCAGCTTCTGAGCCCTGACTGCTGGAAGATATTGCTGGAAGCTCTGGGCTGTGGCTCCTTGGGGACTGAACAGGGAAGTGTCAAAAGGAGGGATTCTAGCATGAGCCCAGTCTTGTGGGAGGCTGTGGGAGTTCTGCTCTCTGCAGAGCAGGTGGGCCCCTCTCTGCTTGATTAACTACATTTTGCAGCCAAAACAGATGCCCTCCAGGGACAAATAATGCTGCCCTGCAGGCTTTCTGTAGATGATGAATAATTTTTTGCATTTCACAGATCAGAGACACGATAGAATGGCTTTCTGCCTCTTTCTGCAAACTCGAGCTGGCTTCAGTGGACTTCAGGACCTTCATCCTGTTTGCAAAGTGGAGTCCTTACATGGCTGAAGTGAACACCTTTCTCAAGTATCTTGCTAAACTGCTCATTGACAGTGAAGTTGTCAGTTTAGCCCAGGAGCCTATTGGCAATAACAGAATTCTAGCAGGTAACCTGTCCTAAAAGCTAATGCATTTAAGAAAGAAGCTCATCCTGTTCTTAATTTCTTCTGCTGAAAATACTTTTATTTAAATATACAATAAAACCTTAACTGAGAGGGTCTCTGCGAGGATGTCAGTGACTATTGAGTTTTACCCTGGTTTGGTGTTTGGTTTTGAGCGGAATGCTCAAGTTGTGTATTCACGAATAAGGGGATTCCGCCACAGTCTGGCTGAAGAGCAGGACAAAGGGAGGGGGGAGACTGAGCGGAGCCATGAGCAAGTGGGACAAAAGAGTATCTGCCAAGAAGTGGAGGCCTTTACAAAGGAGGGAAATAGGGTAATTCCCCCACATTCTTCAGCAAGGGGGACAAAGGAGTCAGGTGACCTCAGGTGGAGGTCAGATGGAGGGAGGCAGGAGTTTGGTATAGGCGGGCCAGGAAGGCTGTAACTTCTGAGTACCTTGGCCAATGGGGAAAAGGAGAGGGCGTCCCTTGGTCAGGAAATTAGGATAAAAGGGGGGCTGCGTCCTCCAGCAATTTGAGAGCCCCCCCAGGGATATGCCCAGTGGACTCTCCCTTTATTCGAATAAAGTTTTAGGACTCCTCTGTCTCCTTTTTGGACATTCAGTTCTTGACAGTGAGATTGTCCGAACAATAGGGGGCTTGTCCAGGATCCTTCCACCTTCTGGAAATGGCAGACGGAGATCGGGGTCAACTGCGCGCCTCACCAAAGTTTTGGTGATCAACTCCCTTCGACGGAGGCCGGTACCAGATGACTGATTGGGTTCCCGAGACTGTCAGACAAGAAGCGGATCAGGGGGATCCGCAGATAGGACTGGGAGGGGGTCCTCAAGTAGTCCGACGGATATGCCTCTAGGAGGCGTTCCAAGAATGCAGTTGGGGATTCAGAGGATCCCTGTTTAACTTCTGCTACTTTTGACAAATTCTTAGGTTTTCTGCCTGGTAGGGTTGTGCTTTTTTTTTTTTTTTTTTTTTTTTTTTAAACCCTTGTTTAACACACCTC